AAATTCCCCAATCAGATTCAGTGAAATATCTAGGAATGCACTTAGACAGTAAATTAAACTGGAAACACCACATCTGGCAAAAGAGGAAGCAACTTAGGAACTTACAACTTAGGAAACACTACTGGCTATTAGGTCCAAACTCCAAACTTTCTCTCAATAGTAAGGTTATAATATACAAAAGTATTTTGAAACCCATMTGGACCTATGGTATCCAACTCTGGGGCTCATCTGCCAACTCTAATATTGAAATCCTTGAAAGATCCCAATCAAAGACACTTCGCATTATAACAAACTCTCCATGGTATGTCACTAACAAAAACATCTCTAAGGATCTTGAAATACCCTCTGTCAAGTCAGTTGTTAAAAACTCTACTACTAAGTACTCTGAAAAACTCCAATTCCACCCTAATACCGTAGCTAATGAACTGCTTAACGAAGTTCACGATTTACGCCGCTTAAAAAGATTCAAACCGATAGACAATATACCTAGATTTTAAGTATATTTCAAGTAGTCTAAGTTAAGGTTAAATATATAATATTATATTTTTGTTACATTAAGATATACGTCATACATGTGATATTAATATTAAGAAGGTATTAGCTATTGAGCGAAATACCTCCATGTTATTCTTGTACTATTCTATTTTTACCAACAAATTTGCTTATTGTTACTTTGTAATAGATTGCAAATAAACTCTCATATATAAAAAAAAAAAAGAAAATAAAATATAACGAAAAGAACTGAATACTAGATCTACATTGAAACGGGGAGATCTCCCCGAGTGATCGGCTAAGTGTTAAGATAAACATATTTTCTTTTTTTTATACCTCTGACGTGATTTTATCCAAGTGTGATTTGGTAGTCTTGGTGGACTTTTCGAAATCTTTTTCCTATAAATAGATTGTAAAAAATAATATCCGGATGTAACCAAAATTTGTAGATTCTTTGGATCGATATGTGTATTAATCTGAATAAAAATCAAAATCAGAATGAAAACAAAACGTTTAATTATAAAATTGGGTAATATTAAAAATTGAAAAATAATCTTATCATTATTACTCTGAAATATGGTCACGTAGTCCTTCTTCTAAATTATTTTGGAAATTAAAATCCAGGTCTAAAACTGTATCTGTCAATACAAGAAGAAAACAAATATTAAAAAATTTACTTATGGAGCATTTCACGTGAAGCGGACAACGAAAAAAATGTGGGGTCGTGGATTTTGTTCAAAATTATCTTGATTGTACTTCTATGGGACCTCAATAATTGTACATCATTATTTTTTTTTTTCACCTTAGTTACCAATTTATGGGGCTTCAAAGAATTGACAGATATGAGGAATAGATTTTTCTAATACTATTAAAAGAGTTAATCTAATAGATTAAATAAAAAAAAAATCGTGTTTATTAGAGAATATAAATTATTTTTCTTAGAAGTAAATAGAAATTTGAAATTGAATTTTTTTTCGTCTAGTAAACCGGAAGTTAAAATTTAAACAAAACATGTGTGCAAATCACACGTGTTAGAAGTGAAACCTTCAAAAATCTAAGATTCGAGAGAATGAGACGAATGCACAGTATCAAGAGTAAGATATAGAAGAATAGTAGAATTTATTTATTATAATATTGTTACCATATATAGCAAAATCTACTGGTATGATCTCTGGGTGGAATAGTTGATAAAAACTACACTTTTTCAAATTCAAGCAATAAAAATGGAATGCTGAATGCGATAATCATAGACAGACACCAAAATCGTAGAATGTTTATCAATGGAAACATAATTTGTCGTAAACTAAATAAATATAAAATATTCTTTTTGTGAAACTCCGGTAAAATATGTTATTGGTTACAATGGTKTTCAAATTCTTACTTTCATCTACATGTTTGCGCTGTCTAACAAAACTTTTAGAAATGCCGAAATAAAGATGTTACGAAAAACATATGGATAATACTGCTGGACTGAACAAAGGATCTAGTACAGACATAATGAGAGATTTAATAATAGAAATCTTTTCGAGAAATGCTTTTCCATCTCAATAGCCTACCACACTTCGAGACCCTTTATTATTTATAACGTGTCTCGACTTTTCTTTAACAACAAACTTATCTTTCTAAATACTCTCGTCTAAATAAAGATCTAAACCACGAAAAATCTAAAAAATGCATTGATCGTATCGCTCTCTCAGCTTATCGAACTGTGTACACTACGAGTCTCAAATTTCAGCTCCGTGGTAAGCTCCACCGATTCACGCTGGGCGTTCAACATCTTAAAAATGTTTTTATTTTATTGAAAAATTACTATAAGTTTCTTAAATACGCAAATATCATAATTTGTAATATAATTTTCATATATGCATGTCAGTACATCTCTTTGGATATTTTTCATAAAAACCTATCAAAATCCAATTTAATATACATATTTTATCTTTATGCATCAAATATATTTTATAAAGAAGCAAAATAAAAAAATTTTTGTAATTTACTTTGCTTTTGAATGGAATTTGTCAGCTGCTCCTTATTTATTCCACAGTTTTCTCTAGTTCTTTTTTTCTGATGTATCTAGTAATCCTTTTTTTTTTTTAATATTTCAGACAATACAATTATTATATATTCTATGTAGTTCATAATTATTTAATTTAATATTTGCGAAATAAGAATTTTATACTAATTTTGAATAAAATAGAAACATTTTTAAATATAAAAAATGTTCACTTCAAAAAATGTTTTCTTATTGCTTTAACGCGTGAGTACAATAGTTACATTTTCGTGACAATAAACTAGGTTTTAAAAACCTGATCCTAGTTACATTAACGCGCTTTAGTGGCAAAAATCTGTCCCGTCATTTTCGTAGATTTCTAAATCATTGCGTTCGTCCTCCTGTTATCTGGGCTCCGTGGAAAACAAGGATATTTGTATGTAAAAGAAATAAATAGAAACGACTCGTATACGAATGTCTCACTACCGTAGAAGTACTTTCTCTTTTCATTATTTCTTGATTATCACACGCGACATCCTCGAAACTTGATATTCAATTTACTCAGGTAGACCAATATACAAATTATGGTAAAAGTTGTTGAGAGCTACTGCGTCAGTCTAATTATAAACCTGAAAAAAACGCAATCGAAGGTAAATTGTTCTAGAAATTATTTATTAATAAAATTCATTAATTTATAAATTTAATTAGATAAGAAAAATTATGTATTATTTCTTTAATACTTACAACTATACGACACCATTTATAAAATATTGAAAAATAGACTGGTTTAAGGAGATACGTCAAAAAAAAAATTGATTTTTTTTTCGATTTTCTGAAAGAATATTATTTCAAAAATATCTTTTTAAATTTTGGTAAAGATCCGCCCATTATTTACGAAACTGTAGTAGTTTAAACGGATCGCGCTGTAGCGCTCCAAGTAAGTATCCAAAACTTTAAACGTTAATTTCTCCTATTCGCGTTTTTAAAACGGTTGCCCTCGCTGCGTCCAGACCATTTATCCGATCCTTACCAAATTTTGTACAGTAATACTAGGTACACGTATCTAGGGAATGAACGATAAAATTTTTCGAAAAAATGCCAATTTTTTTTCTTTTCTCAAAAACTCGGCGATTTTTCTGCAAAAATGTCAATTTTTTCGTAAAAAGTCGACTATTTTGAAAAAAATTAAAAAATTAAAATTTCCTTTTGTTTATTCCCTGCACCAACATCTCTACTAAAGGATAACAATCGGTTTTTTGTTTCTGATGAACCAATTTTTGCCAGTGATAGATAAAAATCTAAATCTATAAATAATAGCTTCTTATTGATAATTAAAATAACATATCACTCTTACGTATTGAAAGTATTATAAAAATATGGACAAAGAGCAGTCTTGGTATCTTATAAATAAATCTATAAAAAA